TTTTCAGACCGATGAGCTTTGTAAAAATCAATGCGTTTCAGAAAGGCGGGGCATAGAGGAGAAACAATAATGTACAGTATGTGGAAAAGAATGTGTTTTTTGAATTTTAAACCGCATAAACATTTCATTACACCAAATAATGTTCTTTTTAGCAGCATCATATGACCCCTTTAAGTGAAGAGCACAAGACGAAAAACTCATATCCATGTTAGAATTCAACCAAATTCATCAGCATATTTGATGAGGTTTTCAGTGGCTGTGGGAATCCTGACAATACCAACACCATGGAAAAAGAGAGTGAGAACGTTTAAGGAATATTTCATTAGCAAAACTTAAAATTTTACTTAAAATATGCTTGTATAATTTTATAAATCAAATGGTTGTCCTTTAATTAAATAACCTGTCATGCAAAATGTCTTACTAAGCATTTTCAGACTAATGACCATTTAGATGTTAAATGGTGATTGTTACTAGTGATCATTCATGAGCAAACTAATGCAATAGCTAGCTGAGCTAATCATCTGAAGAGGTCTGACAACAAAACCAGTTTGATCAAGTTTCAGAAATGTCCTTATTTAGAACAACTGGTTAAGGGCTTCTTTTATCATTCTCCTAGTATTTTTTGGACATATAGTGACTGTTCTTTGAATACAGGAATGGCAGCACATCAGCAGGTTAGCAAGCAAACCACAGGGAACTCATGGTGACCAACAACTGCAATGATCAAAATGTGGCATGATGCATGGGAGAAACAATACAGTATATGTAACTGCATATATGTAATATGCACGACGGGATGCACATTTCGTGTCAGGCAGAGAGACTAGGACGTTAACGTTCAGGCTAGCTGACGCCCCCAAAGCAGGCATGCGCACATCTTAGTACGGCAGAGCAGCAATGCTGTATTTGACAGCCTGTCCACCCTCATTCACTTCCATTATGCTTGGTAGCTGCAGTTCAAAAGATACGGCAAATAAACGCGCCGAAGCCTTTCGTTTAAGTCAGAAGCATGCAGGTCTTCTAAGTTGGATTTACATGACTTTATACAATTTTTTTAGTCTTGTGAGATAACTGGATAATGTTGTTAATTCGCTAACACGTTTGATTGAGCCAAACGAATATTTGAACAAATCTTTTAAATGAATGAATCATTCTTCTTCACCGACTCGTTTTTCTTTCTCCGAAATCTCAGGGTTGCTAAACAAAATAAATACAATTATGACCATTCTTCATTTATTTATACCACATATGCTATTTGAGATTTAAAGGGACAGAACAATTATGATTCTACTAAACACCACAGATGACTATATGCTATTAAAATGCCGTAAGTTAAAATGAAAATGATCATTTTTGGGCTATTTTGTCATACTTTCTTCACAAGGTGATCTCCACCGCTTTACAAAATGGAGACATTTATTTAAAAACGCACGTAAAAAATTTTTTTTGTGAATTACACAAAAAAATGGGAATCAAAATCTCCACAACTAAAAGAATGGCAATTTGACATCTACACAGATGAGCAGCATCCACCAATAACTAGACATATAATTATATTCTCAATACTGAAATTTAAAAAAATCCCAGACGTTCTATGCGAGAACACGAGAAGTAATTCATTACTATTATAAAACACTACCTTACTTAAAAACAACTCGTGCTGTGCGAGTCCAAATGTGTGTGTTATCGAGGGGATGTATGAACTAAAGAGCACGAGATTAAAATGTGGCAACCAATCGAAGGTTCAAGTGCGCACCACCTGACTCAGCATGCGCTAAACACGGAAGCGAACGCCGAGTGGACGGTCTTCACCGTGGTCAGAATGTCTTTGGCATTTACCCCCAGACCAGGCCTCTTGCAGTTGTGGATCCCGATGATTCAATGACAAGCTGAGACGACAAAAAGGATACTCAAAGTCAGCATCTTGGACGGGTAGTCAAAAGCGACGACCTCTCCTTGCAGGCGCTGCCCCAGGCAGGTGATGCATGAGACATGGCTCCCGACGCTGAAATACTCCCCCGGTCCAGGAGCCGCCATCTTCTCCGCCAGGAAACGGGAGCAGTCGCCTCACGTAAACACGCGCAGCCGCGTCAGCACGGGAGGAAGCGCGAGGAGGCGTTCCGCGGGAATGAATGAAGTGACGCAAAACCCGCCGCTGCAAACGAAGCCACGCCCACTTTACTATGGAGTAGTAGCCTACATCATGAATCTCTTACTACAACGCACTACACGCCCTCATATGCCCACTTCTCACTTACTCATCTTCCTGGTTTATGCACAAGGTTGGTTGAAAACACAGAGGAGCCTGCTTTTACCTTCTGTGACCTCAATCATGGCTTTTAAACTTCTTGTTGCCCCAGACCCCCACATATGATGGTCCCACTGGCAAAGGACCCCCTTAAAGGCAGCTATATATTTTCAAGCATAACAACCCTTTTATACAGTGAAGACTAAAAATAGTGTAAATGCCTAAAAACCTATTATATTGAATTTTTTTTCCCCTACCCACCATAAAAGTATTTTTAGATCTATGTATAAACCCGAAAAAAATATTAAAACTTGTCGGTAGAATTACAAAGTTCTCTGATCAGTATTTTTTGAAAGAACAAACCGTAATACTGTCAAACACTCTCGTTTGTAATTTTTTTCAAATAGCCTATTTAATTTATTATTAATGATATATTTTTAAAATTAATAAGAAAAATATTTTTTCCCCACAAAATTTTTCTTCACTGGACTTTCCCATGAAAAATACATAAATACAATAAAACGAATAAATCATCACATGATTTCTGGGCTAAACTTGCACCTCACTCTTGTCTTTTAGTATGCACATTTTTGAATGTGATTATTTTGTCTACAGTAAAAAAAAAATTAATTAAAAAAAAAAGATTTCCATATACATTACAAATATTTTTCAAATAGAAATAAGAATATTAACTTAATTATTATATTCGTAATTATTATTCAAGTAATTATACATTTGATATAAATTATAAATATAATCAAAATGCAAATGTAGTAATATATTATTACAAATTATTAGTGATTTAATTATTTTAAAGAATCACTAAAATATGAAATACATAAATGAAGCTGAACGAAAAAATGTGCCTAACTACATGAGGATTTTTGCTTTGTTAAAAAAAACCAAACAAACATCCGTGCATTGATTTTATAATCCATTTACGATGAAATGCAGAGCATACACAGCTAGACAACACTGCAGGAGGATAAAACGGTAAGAAAAATGTCTTGTATCTGTATCGCAACTGGCTCAAATGTCTCCCTGTATATGTTGAGCAGTTATTTAAAGAAGTTGGAAGAAAAAACAAACAAAGAAAGAAACAGCAGGATTCAAAGGGACAGCAATTTTTAATGATTAATAGTCACAGTAATAGATTGCTCAAATAGCGTGTATTGCACATGTGTACACATATATGCACCCTATATACACGTGTGTAGCAGTTAGTATACACACCTTTGTATTGTCGCAACATGAAAGCATTGAAAGAACACAATAAATCAGGGAATGTGCTTTGATAATTTCAGATAACTTCTGCATATCAATATGACCAGAAGATAGACAAGAAAGAGAGGAGAGTAGAGAGCGAGAGAGAGAAAAAAGATCTTAAAAATGGAAACACCCAATCACAACAAGTGATGTAGAACAGCAAAGAAATGAAGAGACAGTGAAGGAGACACGACCTCTCTTTCAAACACGTCAAAAAAATATACAAGCACTCTTTGAACCTCGACGATCATAGGCCACTACATATACACAACATATGAATTAGCAATAAATATACATATTTACCCAATAGCAAAATATGTGGCAGAGACAGTAAAGCTATCTTCCACGGTGAATGTCGATGTCTTTTACACATACAGAGGTTTCCCGGTGTCCATCGTAAGGCCCTGTTCACGCCGTTTACGTTGTTTTCCTTGTGTAAGATTGTTGCGAAAGAGACCGTGTTGGAAAACGTCCATCGAAAACGAACAGCGCCAAGCGTCATACTGTATTACATCTGAGCGATTATTTCCCCTCTCTATGTATTGCTCAACCCCGCGCACCCAAAGAGAAGGATAAGGTCTCAAAAAGGGACTTCTCAGGGTCAGCCGATTCATCCAGAAAAGTATAAAAGGAACGGAAAGGAAAAGGAGAAAAAGCGTTCACCACCAACTGCACGGTCAATAAACTGTTTGACACCATATAGGGTGAAACTACAAAACTCTGCACAAATGGTTGGTGATCTACATCCAAACGTCACGAAACCTGGTCACAGCAGTTGCTGATTCAGACAGCACATCCCATAGCCACATAGAAGAGGGAAATTCTCTTAGTGTATATTACAATATCTACGTACAGAGGCTAGTGTCAGCCTGATTTTTCACAAAGGGTTTCCGGTTTCTCTTTAACCGCAGTTCGCGCGAAAGCAAGTCAACGGGTTAGACAGAACGCACAGCTGAAGGTGACGGTAGTGTTTCAACAGAGCAAAAACAGCATGTAGAAATACTTTATCAGGTGGTGACGTAACAAACAGAGGACTGTTGTCGTCGCGAAAAAAAAATGGCCGTTCACTTTTTAGCTATTGTAATATATCTTTTAAAAAAAAGTTAAGTTATTCCCCAGAGGCTGTTGAAATTTTCATCGATTTACAATGAGACAAACATCGATCCATACGCAACGCAACTAATAATTTCTGACTCCAAATAAATAAATCAAAAGAGAGCAGAGTCGAGAAATGCGCAGCGAAGTTTCTGACGTTTCAACGTCAACAGTTCATCGGTGAATCAGTGAATGCACACAAAGAAAAACGCTGGCGAGAGTTCACACGTCATTTGCGGAGATAATTCACTCTGCATTTAATGCCTCAATTTGCGTCTGAGAACCGAAAGTAAAAAAAAAGAAACGCAATTAGGTTCGGACCTACAGTGTAGTTATTAGTGCAAGATGCCCGAGGCCCGGTTCAGTCTCATTAAAAAAAAGTGTTTGCCATTAGACACGTCGTCACCTCTCAGACTTCCGTGACATTGCTAAAGGAAGAGGGTGACGTTAAATAAAGACGCAGCGGATTACATCGAATTTGGCCCCCAAAAAGCTGTTGTCACGCAGTGAAAATGTAATGAAGGATTGTTATTTCAGGGTCATAAACAAGCCATTGCATTTCATCCACAAGTGCACAAGTGATTAGCCAGCATACAGCTATTAGACGACTAACTGTCAACAGTTATGAACAATACTAGTCAGTCTAATGAAAACTAACCGTATCCAGAGGATAAAAGCTATATCAAAAGATGTCGAAAATGTAACCAAAAGTTTGCAGAGTATTTTAGTGTTAAACAAAAAAAGTGGTAGTCACTCTTATTGCCGGAAAAAATATCCTTAAATCCTGAAAAAGGACAATGCCAAATGCACTGCACAGTGACATAAATCAACATCATTGATAATATCTGTAGCGCGCTGTACATTCCTTAACAGAGAATACTTCAAATCAAATGACGAAACTAACACTGAATACAGACTTTTTTGTTTTCTTTTACATTTTTGTACAAAAAAAAGGAACTGTTTTAATAAAAAAAGTCACCGCTAACACTCTCTCGCCAATGGAAATAAAGTCAAATAAAACAAGTTTCAAATAAAGAGTTTACGGGAGCCAATCAAATAAATGGACAAAGGAAAGTGACGTTAAAATGAAGAAAACAAACAAGTTGGTCACAACATCAGCAGTGTTTCCAAACAATCACGTCATGTGCTAGTCATGTGCTAGTGCACAGGACTGATAAATAAAACAATCGCTGAATATCTTCCATTTGTTCTTTTGTTAACATGTAAAATAAAAAAAAAGTATCAAAACCTTTTTACCAAGAACACAACACTTAAACTAAAGAGAGAAATGGAAAGAAAGTGGGGCAGGAGGAGGATAGTAATCATTTTGTGCTCTCCTTCGTTCATGGCTAAAGTTAATTTTCTTTGAAAAATTTAAGGCAATTTGAAAAACAAACAAATCAATGAAAGTGAAGTCCGAGGAGTCACGATTCGTTAAGTATTGGTGTTGTTAAATGTTTTCCTTAGTATAAAAGGCACCAAGTTCTTGGAAAACAAAAAGTCTTTCTTGAGACATTACCACCAATGCGTCTATCCTCGTTCTCCACCGAAAGTTGAGATGGACGCTTGAAAATCCTCTCTTCGTATTTTACACCTTTGTCTTAAAACGGATGGGTTGCCGTTATTCACGTTTATGTGCGATGTATGTTATAGCAAAGCCGTATATTCCAAAAAAGTACTGTTTTCTCTAAGAGACAAGAAATGCTTCTGGGAGAAATGGCTAACCATTATTCTTTCACTTCTGGATAAAAGTCTGCAGGCTCTTTTACTGTATGTACAACCACAGCTGATAAGAAAATGTTCCATAGGGGATATAAAGTATTTATATATTTTTTGTATGTTCAAATGTGTATACGGTACACACAAAACTACATATATATGCTTATATATATATATATATATATATATGTTTGTATGTATATTTATATATATATTTTATACTTATATTTCTCGTAGGTTTGTGTGCTTTTCATAACAGGCTATTATACAGATGAACAAGTATACCAAATAATCGACACGGTACAGTGTAAACGAGTATACTTGTCTGCAAAAGGTGTTTCGACACATCAGGCACCTCTTTTGGTAACCGTGTTGCTTGTGAATGAGTGTATATGTGTGTTTTGTGCTGAAGTATTTTTGCTGCTTGTTGGCTTTTTTTTTTGGAACTTTGTACATTATACTTTGTACAGAAAACAAAGCTTTTCGCCGCCCCCCCAAGCGACAACATCCCTGTGCTGTCGTGATGTTTTCCCCTTCTTCTTCTTTTTTTTTTTTTTTGCATTTTCTTCTTTAAGTCCTCAGTTCAATACAATGAGAAAATGAAATCAAAGACCTCTCTCTGAAGAGCACTCCATTGTTCGGCCTTTCCAGCTGCGCAACCCTCACTGGAGTGGTCCTGTAAGTACCCATCATGCCTTGTCATCCCCTTTCGGCAACAGTTTGCTATGCTTTAACCTCAGAAAAGCGAAAGTGGGTGGGCTGTGAACGTGTCAGTCAAGCACCTGGAAATGAGTGAAGGACCGAGGGAACCAATCAAAGAGCTGGGAGGAGGAACATGAGGCGTGACCAGTGCCAAGCACGCGTGGACAAGAAGGTTGGAGCAGTGATGCACTGTGCTCGCTCTTCTACAACACGGGCTCCTCCTCCATGGGCTCCTCTGCTGATCTGAGGAAGGAGGGATTGGTTAATGGTTAATGAAGGGTAAAATGATGTATTAAACATTCTACATAACTGCAGAGGTGTATATGACAACAGGTTCTACTCCACTCGAGTGGCAGTACCTGCTGGTTTCTGTGGAGGTCTTTTGCTGATCGTTGTCCACAGTGAGAGAGGCCATGGCGGTCAAAGTGTCTGCCTCGTCCTTCTCCCGTCTCTGAGTGTCCAGTAGAGACTGGCCCACTGTAGGAGCTAACCTCTGCACAGACGTCCAGTGTTTACCTACAGATCATGAGAAGATAAATAATGATAAAGATCTTTACGTCATCAAGACCTCAATCCCAGGGGTATTATAGTTAACTAAAATGAAAACCAAAATTGGAACCATTAAAAAAACAATTTCATCACTTGAAATAAAATAAACGCTAACTGAAATAAAATAAAAAAATGCAACTATTTTTATTTCAGCTTCGAAAAATGACTATTTCAAATAAAAATGGAAAATATAAAAATAATTCAAATATTAATAAAAGTTATAACAGTAGCTAAATTATACTAAAGTGTGTTATAGAAAATTGCTCAATACTGGTTTTTAAAAAATACATTTAATGATTTTTTTTTATGCCATGCCAGCACAATAGACAAATAAGCTTGGTAGAAAATGGCAAATAATTATATAAGATCTTTAAAATTAATATATATCAAATTCTACAGTTTTTCCTGGGAAAATCTTTAAAAAAAAGTCCATTAAAGACATTTCTGAATAAATCCATTACCACAATACTGATATTTAACACACTTTCATATGAAGTAACATAATGAATGAATGTAGAAATTAATACAATACAATCTTAACCGAGTTTTCTTCAGTTTTACTTACTCTGAATCTCAATGACCCTCTCTAGAGAGGCTGTGGCTTTTGGACACGGTTTCTGTTGAAGCACTGTCAGTGGTACAGGATCCAACTGCAGCACACAAAAAAATGATGTGTTTATTTCATAAATAGGAACACTATTAAAAACTCCTATTCTGCTAATATTGACCTTGTTGTTTTTATGTTGAGGGTCCCAGAGACCCTAATAATGTATGTGTAATTATAATAATACTAATTTTGAAATGAACTTCTTATTTACCCTTTAAATTGTTCAAATATGTTCCTCTGACCTAATTAAAACCAATCAGGCAAATATTATTTAAGCTTTAACCTTTTGTTTTATCATTGAGACTCCAGAACAGAAGGGTTAAAACAGAAGCACTGAGTTATGCAACTCAAATATAATCATATCATGTACTGTTTAGATGTGTGTGAATGAATGATGGGCACCTCGTCTCCAAGCAATGCAGCCACGCAGGACTCGGATGCGTCACAGATGGCGGTGAGGTCGTGACCTCCTTCCAGTGCCAAAACCACACGGCCGCCAGCCAGCTTCATCAACTGCTTAGTGAGATGGCCGAAACCTACGCACAGAGCCAGGAACATGCTGGGTAATTCATGATCTATAAACAAACTCCAAAGCCTTCAGCAAAACTTAACGCCCCCCAGTTATAACAGAAATGTAGGTTAACTGTGAAAAAGACTAGCATTCTATTGAGTTCATACTGTCTAGTGGTACTACCAGTATGACACCAATATTTACTGCTCCCCCAAAGCAATGACCCAAAAGAAATGAGGTAGTCCAAGCTCAAATAAATAAATTGATTTTTTGTGTATAATACAACCTATCTATACAATCAACGGGTACAAACAGCATTTGCGCCATCTGACCTCTGGTACTGGAAACAGAAAAACAGCAAACTCACATTTGGCGGTGACATTATATCCACCCAGGGGGGACTGATGGCCCTCCACAGCATCAAAGCCAGCTGACACTAGCACTACATCCGGGGAGAACTCATTGGCTATGGGCATCACCACCGTTCTGCAAGCACACAGACACATTAAGACTTTGATTTACAAATGATCTGCACAATCTGACAATAATGATCTGATACCTATGAGACAACATCTTTATACAAGTGTACTCCAAATACTTAAAACATAATACATTTCTAAAGATCAATCGCTTTAATATGATTTTTTAAAATATTAATAATAATAATATATATATATATATATATATATATATGCACAGAGCTGTGCAAAAGTCTTAGGCCATTAGTATTATCACAAAAAATAAAAAAATAAAAAAAATGGTCAGTTATTACTATCTTTTGCTGTAGTGTGTCGGAAATATCAGTTCACATTTCCAAATATTCCTTTTGCCATTAATCGTAATAATGCAGTGAGATTTTTGTTTGCACAAGGAGTCCGACGACAGCCAGTGCTCCACACAGAGATCTGTCTGGAACGACATGAAGAAACAGAACAAACTGAGACAGACTAAATCCAGAAGAACTGTGGCAACGTCTCCAAGACACTTGAAGAAACCTTCCTGCAAAGCTACTGAAAAACTACGTGCAAGTGCACCGAGGACTATAGCGGTTTTAAACAGAGAGGATGGTCACACCAAATACTGATTTGATTTAGTTAACTGAAGTTAATTGATAAAATCTATTTATGACATTATTTTTGACAACATCCTCAGACTCCTTAACATAGAAAAATCTCACTGGATTATTACAATTAATGGCAAAAGGAATGTTTGGAAATGTCAACTGATATTTCCTACTGACACACTACAGCAAAAGATAGAAATAACTGACTTAAAACCTTTTTTGTTGGTAAAAATACTAATGGCCTAAGACTTTTGCACAATACTGTTTATAAATACACACACACACACACACATTTATAAGTGTGCGTGTATATAAAAACAATTAATATAAAAAAATGAATTATATATAATTTTATGTAATAACATATATATATATATATATATATATATATTATCACACACATTTTTATGTTGATATATCCCCCTCTCAAAATAGTTTAATTTAAACATTTTTTTTTTTACAATTACTAATAAAATAATACATACACATATAATTCATTCAATACAAATGAATTAAATATATTATATAAATTATACTATAATAAAATAAATTATAAATAAAAAAATAAAAAAAATCCTCAAACCATTTCATGGGGTCTAAAAAAATAACATTTTTAATGCTGAAAGTAGGGCTATATTTTGTATTTTGTATAAGGTTTCTTACATTTTCTCTATTTCTCTCTGACAGACAGCAAGTGCAGATCTCACCTGAAGGCAGTTAGATACTCCACATCACCCATAGGTGGCTCCACTCCACCTGTCCAGGCAATGTTGACATTAAAGCCCTCTCCTGGACCTACACCCACCTAGAGGAGCCCATGAGACAGTTCAGACAAAAAACAAAACAAAGACACTGGAATGTTTCCACTAAAAAAAACAAGACAATTTTGGTCGTGTGACTACAGGAGGCCACTATTCTCAGTGACTGAAATATTGTTACCTCCTCAGGAGCTCCGCTGCCTGGGAAAAAGTTGCCATCGTCATAACGGTGCAGGGAAATGTACAGCACATTGGGGTCATTATAGAAAGCCTGCTGGGTCCCGTTTCCATGGTGAATATCCTATGAAAGTATTGGAAGACGGTTTTGTAACACAGAGTCGAGTCTGGTTTTGTTCTTTGTGGTTCTGTTAACATGTCAATGAAAGATTTTCTTCTCTAAAATCAGCTAAAGTGAATCGTTACAATAATATTGCTTGTTACGTGTGAACTGTAACAACAAAAAGTTGCTGTGTATCACATGGAGATCCTAAAAACTCACCCAGTCTATGATCAGGATCTTGCCCACCCCGAGTTTCTGCTGCAGCAGTTTGGCAGTGATGGCCACTGAGTTGAAGAAACAGAAACCCCTGCCGAGATACACACAGAGCAGTCAACTCGTATTCAACACACGTAACTGATTTATCCATCAAGATAACAAACATCTGTACACACAAAACTCACACCAAGACATAAAAGTCCACATATGAATCATTTAAATGCATTTTGTTGCTTTATGTAGAATAAATATGATGAAGTAAACAACTTTAAATGACATATTCAAATATTTGTAATAAAATATTTTACACAGACTAAAAGAGGAAGGCATTTCAGACTACTTACATGGCAGTTGATTCCTCAGCATGATGACCAGGAGGACGGACCACCGCAAACCCGTTCTATCCATCAAACAAAAATAGAAGAGAAGAATGAGGACAACATAAGAGATGTGATAAACGAAGCTGTGGTAAGAGAAATAAATATGAACCTTCAGCTCTCCGGCAGCAACTTTAAATGCCAGCTCAATGACGCAGCCCACCGCCATCCGGACAGCTCCGGACGAATGCATCTCGTTCCACACTGTGTCACTGTCCACCTAAAGGGCATAAAATCAAGTTAAATACTGCTCAATACTGATCCTATTTACTTCCTTAATAAATGTCCATGGTGTTATTATATACATATATATATATATATAAAATTCTTATTATTTAAAAGTTTTGTTTTATTTTAATATTTTAATAATTAATAATAATGATGATCATTATTTAGAGGTTTTATTTTATTATAGTAGATATATCTGTATATTTATTATATCTATAATGTATATATATTCCAATCTAATCTAACAATAATAATGCTAATTTATTTAAAAATAAGATGAAACATTTACTACTACTACTACTAATAATTATTATTTAAATGTTTGATTTATTTTAATATTATACTTTGATGATGATAATAATTTAGATGTTATATTTTATTATAATCTATATATGTATTATAATCTAATGCAACAACAACATTAATAATAATAAATTCAATTATTAAAATATGATAACATCTAAATACTACTACTACTAATAATAACCAAGTACCCAATGTAAGTAAGGTTGCACAGTCAAGGAAAAAATAATATAGCCAATAATGCTATGGCCTACTTTTCACAATCCAAACAGACAAATTCCTGTCTACATTATTTGCAAGAATATTCTGTTTTGTTTGGAAATACCTCCTATAACATACAGTTGGCATACATTGTGAATCCCATTTCATTCTTTATAAAAGAAGTGTGATGACTGGACACATGAATGGAGAAAACGTACCCCAATGCCTCCACACGGTAGCACAGCATACATTTTTTGACTTATTGGACCTAGAAAATAAAATAAAAAATCTAATCAGAAGCTGATTTAAAGCAGTGTTATGTTTAGCCCCACATCTGTTGTTCACACATTATCTATTCAGTTAATTACATAATTGGCTATGCTAATTCAGTCTCGAGGATGCTCGCTGGATGACGCTGACGCAACCATCATCTGTCTCGATGTTCTACAAAGAGCACTCAAGGTCGAAACTGTCTGCACTTCTTCAAAGTGTGTCTCATATAAAAGTGGAGGTGGTGGAGTGATGGCAACTCTGTCCGCAGCTGAACCTTCTCACCTTCACACACACAAACGCACAGTCGCACACACACACACACACACACACTTCACTGGTGACTCAGAAGCGGGGGTGGGCAAATGTCTAGGGCCTAAAATAATCCTAGGCGTCTGTCAAAGGAGGTTTGCTTAAGCAAGCCATCAGATTGGGAAGCTTTTTGTGGATGGTGTACTCTAGAAGGAAAATCCTGTTTTGGCGTCCTAAAATCAAGACAGCAGCAATTACTTGCATCATAACAGAGAGTTTCTAAAACACACCTAAAAGTTTCTTGCTGTCCAGCTTCTGTCGGTTCAGTGGACTGGTGCCATAGAGCAGCGTGTGGTACTCAGAATGCACAGTTTGGATTTCATCTAGCGTGGCCTTCCTTCCTCTGATCCTCTGCACACAAACAAACACAGAAGTACATTCAGGTAACATCTATGATTTACCTAAACACTACAACGATTCCCACTATTTTGACAAATTGAATGATGAATAATGAATTCACATGACTTTTCTATGACCTTTACAAACATTTGTGATTAAAGATTTTTAAACAGCATTTTGATTCAGACTGAGTCACCATAAATTATTCAGACCAATTTTTTTTTAAATCTAATGATATTTTCTTGTTTTCATTGACTGATGGAGCTATAAATAGTGAAGCTGTGAAATGTCACCACTAGATGATAGGTTAAATTATGTTATAAAACATACTGCTCAAAAATATTTAACGTTTGGGGTCGGTAAGATTTATTTACATGGTTTTTAAAGAAGTCTCTTATGCTGCTCACCAAGGCTGCATTTATTTGACCAAAAACACAGTATAAACAGTAATATTGTGAAATATTATTAGAATTTTAAATAAATGTATTCTATTTTAATATTTTTTTTAAATGTAATTTATTCCTGTGATGCAAAGCTGAATTTTCAGCATCATTGCTCCAGTCTTCAGTGTCACATGATCCTTCAGAAATCAACCTAATATGCTTAGATGGTGCTCTGGAAACATTTCTTATCAATATCGATGTTGAAAACCGTTGTGTTGCTTTTTTGTGGAAACCATTTTTTCAGGATTTCTTGATGTATGGCAGCATTTATTTGAAATAGAAATCTTTTGTAATATTATACATGTCTTTACTCTCCCTTTTGATCAATTTAATGCGTCCTCGCTGAATAAAAGTTTTCATTTCTATCAAAAGAAACACAAAGCTAAAGTGCATTTGCAAAGAGCTGAGCTTTAACACAAAGCTTCCTGATTATTGTTTCTGGCTGACCCCTTCCAGTAGGTGGCACACTCACCTCACAGCGACCAAGCAGCCCTGTTTCTTGTAGCCTGGACCAAACACTCTGAATGCGACCGGCGTGTTCGGGATGGATGTTTGTGTTCCCACATATGCACTGGTGCTTTAGCATGAAGGTGTCGTACACCAGCCCTGCAGAATGAGCCAGGAGATGATTAAAAATACAAGTCTAGCAATCCCAGTATCAGTTCCATCCGGAGTATAAATGCTATGAAACATGAATTAAGCTTAATCTAATACACATATTGCCTTTTAGATAAATTCTCCACTGTCTTGTGAGACTGATTGACAGCGGTGCAGTGTACCTGTTGTGAAGAGATGCTTAATGGGCACCTCGATCAGGGGTGCTCCTTTAAGACTAGAAGTGACAGGGGACGACTGTGCCCTTCCCAGGGGTCTGTGGGGCATTCCCGTGATGGACAGGGAGGCCTGGAACACATTCAGTTGCTGCACATGCTGCTGGTCCAAATACTGCGAAAAGAGCACACAAACATCATGAATTCAGTGCCATTCAACGGTTCAGTTCAGCTCGGTTTGATTCAGTTAATTTCATTTGAACTCAGATTAGTTCAGTACACTTTGAACCGGTTCTGTTTAGTACAGTCTCATTCGGTTCAGCAGATTTATGAAGTGCAATTTAAATCTGTTCATTTCAGTTCAGTGCAGTTTTATTCAAGTTTCAAGTTCTATTCAGATCCGTTTCGTTCAGAAGTGTACAATTTTTTTCTGTTCTGTTCAGTTCAATTAATTTAAACGGCTATTTTATTTTATTTGTTTAGCTAAAAGAATGAGCTTTTCTTTCAGTTCTGCTTAATTCAATTGAATATTAATACAACTATAATGTAATATAAATACTAAAATAGAAACAAAATATTAATATAACATTAGCATATTAAACTGATGGTATGAGATGGTAATGGTGGTACTAACCTTGGTACGGTGGTATTTAAACGGTATTTTGAATACAATTCAGTTCAGCTAAACGATTGGGCTTCATTTACTTCACAATTAACTAGATTTAATGTAATTCAGTTCAATAAACCTTTGTTTTGGAGATAAATCACGTCAAAGGTCTCCAGCTCATTTTTGATAATTTAAATAAAATTAAATAATAATTAAATTGCCTTGGCAATTAGCTGAAATAAGTTTAAGCAATACAATTACTAAAACTAAATATATATATATATATATAAATTAAAGTTAATATTAAATAGAAATATAAAAAAAACTAATAAAATTGCCAAACGTGTTCAAATTAAAATGTAAAGTAAAAAAAGCCAATTCAAAATATTAATAAACACTATAATCGTATTTAAATAATACTAAAATAATACTGGAGTGAGGGTGTAAAGAGTAACAGACTGAACATCAGTTCAAGCACACGGTCTGGACCATCTCACCAAAGAAACTCAATGAACATTTGCCAAAAATCTACTCAAAAGCCTCCAGCGGAATGAACGCGTGCGTGCGTCAGCGAAACAGCAGCTGATGCAGTACAACGTGCGATGGAAGCACATGCGAGATGATGGGATTCATACTAGTGTTTCTTCTTGCACGAGACCTTGAGGTTGAAGGTATGCCAACACTCAAATATTCACAATTCCCTTCTTCATGCCAAATCCCTCTTTATTCAAGACACTAAAACCATGCAGCATCTGTCGCGGGAGACGGGGGCTTAATTTGTATTCAAGATACTCAGGCAGACAAGCAGAGGCATTCACATACACACATACACACATACACACACACACACACACACACACGGACATAGGTGGGGGTGTTTTAATGAAAAGGAAAGGCCAGCTAGGGTCTGTGACTGACCAAAGTGACAAGGAGTGTTTTCGTATATCGCTGCCTCAATGGTGACTGCATGTCACAGCATAACAGACACACACACTGCGGCGTGTCACGTCACCCCGGTGGGCTGTGATTGGGTGTGAAGTGCAGGGCAGTGAAGGCGGGCGGGGTCCGGAGGAGGAGATGAATCACCAAGGAGAGATGAGTCAGAGATGGTCCATTCACGGGGGAGTATATGTGTAGATATGTGAGTGTATATGTGTGCGTGTGCGTGTGAGTCTGCCGCTGCGCGAGGAGGATGCAGTCTGAATTCTAATGCCGTGCTCTTTTGAAATTTTTTCTCAATGATTGCAGGCAGAGCGAGCGCGAGGAGGAGGGTGTTGCTCTTTTTTCAATAACTCTCTCTCCCGCTCATTCACTCTCCCTCATTCGTTTGTTTTTCCTTCCTCCCGCCCTCACAACAGCAGTGTATGTTTGTGGGGTCTGTGTTAAGTTCACAATGAGCTCTTTTGGAGGATCAAATCTGCTTGGATGTCATGCAAATGAATGGGCTGGAATACATAATGGCATGAATCACTGCAGTGGTGCTATCGTTATTTATATAACAAAATGACGAATAAGAATTGAGAGATCAAAATAATGCACATTTCTCAATCGATTAATTATTTATTATTACAACATTACACATACATGAAGCACAAAAGCCCTTATGAAAAGTATGATGATGATGGTGATGCAGTATAATGAGTATTTGCAGTATAGTGAAAATGAGGACTTTGAAAAATCATTATTACCCTCATTTGCTTTGTATTTAAGTTGTAGCCTTTTCAGTTCCCATTTGTCCGGTCTCGTGTAAGTTAGAGGTTGTGTTTTTATCTGCCTGCTTGGATTACCTTAAAGTGGATTATTAAAGACTTTTCAAACTTTATCATCATCATCCCTCAACCTTGTGAGACACATAATAGTATATAAATCATATTAAAATATAAACAATATTAGGGGTGACCCCGAATAGTCGAAGAATTGATGCAACGATAGGAGGAGCCTGATTTGAATACCAGTCTCACAGTCGAATATTCGCGGGGGTGTTATGATCATGCCATTTTGGCTGTATGGGTGTGCTCAAATGTCTGATTTCACATAGAACTACTGGTTTTTAATCAATGGGATTTAACTCATCATTTATCTCATATAGAATACGCTTCCCCATTTATACAACATAATTCGTTATTCGTTAATATTACAGCTATCTGCACAAAACAATGCCCCAAATACAGAAGTGAACGTGTCTGCGCGGCTCTGAATGAACTCCTTTTGTGGACGCGTTCTTCACACAACAACGTGCAGAAACACAGCAACTAAACTCTAAAAATTCACAGCGTTTTATTATAATAGTGTTCTCATTATAATTGTTATTTATATGACAGTCCCAGTCATAGTTATTAATATTCTGCATTGTTGTTTGTCCTGCTCACGCTGACCGCTGAAGAGATAATCACCGTAGTACTACAATGATGCGCTTTAATGCATCTTATACGAGATAAATAATATATACACAATATATATAAACCGGCTGAAATGTTTTGAAATCACTTATAGCCTACCTGATTGAAAAAATTCAGTCTTTCACTCTGCCTGTGTCAATTTGAGTCTTGTTAAAGTTTTAAGTCCCTGCTGCCAAAACGCTCCTCTGTCGGTTATGGATTATGGAAAGTGAAACTTAAATCTATAGGGGTGGTTGGATTTATTCACGCACATTAAAATATTTATTTGAGGCTTCTTTCTTTTCATATTTTTATTTACAGCATTATTTTAATAGGCTGTATATTAACTTGAAAACCTGCTGCATCACTCTCAGGGGTTAAAGCAAAAAAAAATCTTTTGACTGAAAAGTTTTCCTCAGCCAAACCGGTCACACACTCAGATTAAGAGCAGTTTTTTCTTCTTGTAATTAGGAGCGCTTGTCCTCCAAATTAAAAAAATGTAGGAGAACCTTCTGATCAATAATAAAAAATTCTGATCAAAATTAGCCTTCCTAATATGAGGTGGCATTTGACTTGAAGTGATTTCAGGGGCATTTTCTTTTTAGCTTTGTAATGGCATTTTTCTAATTTTATTAAATGTATGCAGTGGCAATGGATTTTTTCCAGCTGTGGTGGCAGGACTATTTCTCATAAATTAAAAAAATGTAGGAGAACCTTCTGATCAATAATAAAAAATTCTAATCAAAATTAGCCTTCCTAATATGAGGTGACATTTGACTCAGTGATTTCAGGGGCATTTTCTTTTTAGCTTTGTAATGGCATTTTTCTAATTTTATTAAATGTATGCAGTGGCAATGGCAATGGCAATGGATTTTTTCCAGCTGTCTCTTCTCGACTATTTCTCATCTCTTCTCGTCTCTTTAAGACCTTGCACGGATCTAATATACTGTTACACATGGCTCTACCTGTTTTTATAGTCTATGGGCTCTATACGCTTACTTTTCTTTTTAGAAGCGCTTGTCCTCCTAATTTAAAACATTTAGGAGCATGATCAATAATCAAAAATTCTGATAAAAAATGATCCTTCCTAATACGAGGTGACATTTGACTCCTTAAAGTGACTTACAGGGGTATTCAATGGCAATGGATTTTTTCCAGCTGTGGTGGCAGGACTATTTCTCATCTCTTCTCGTCTCTTTAAGACCTTGCACGGATCTAATATACTGTTACACATGGCTCTACCTGTTTTTATAGTCTATGGGCTCTATACGCTTACTTTTCTTTTTAGAAGCGCTTGTCCTCCTAATTTAAAACATTTAGGAGCATGATCAATAATCAAAAATTCTGATAAAAAATGATCCTTCCTAATACGAGGTGACATTTGACTCCTTAAAGTGACTTACAGGGGTATTTTCTTTTTACCTTTGTAACGGCATCATTTTCATCTATGTCAGATTCAAAAATTTATGTTTATAAGCTTTTTAAAATTTCTATTTAAAATATAATATAATGAAGTAGAATAAGACAAAAACATTCATGTGGAGATTAATGTTTTAAATATACAATTTTGAATACAGAAATATTAAATGATTTAAATAACTGAAATTATATGCAAAAAAAAAAACTAAATCCGCCAGCAGGTGGCGGCAAGTCACTGATTTTATCCCTGAATCATTCATTCAATTGATTTGTTCAAACCGCTGATTCATTCAGGAATGAAGCAAAGTGACTGTCTTTACGAATGGGTAATCGTGAATCACTGACTCACTAGATTTGTTCAAAAACGCACTTTTATTGAATGAATGAAACTCAGCTGTGTTTGCTTTTAGAGATGCGCAGCGGCTGAGCTGTTACTATATTTGGAACTATTTTCATTGAAGAAATAGAGCAAAATCAGGCAGTACTTGTTTATTGAACTGTTGTATTAAATCAATATCACATTTGCAAACTCCCTTAATAACTATTAAAAGTCGTCACTCTTGGGCACACAGAAAATGAGAGCGCTCGCGCGAGTTCAAGACTTAAAAGCACGTGCAAATGATATGTTCCGTCATCTGTCATCGCGTTATAAGCGTGGAACCTGCGGGAATAAGACAAAGTCCCTTTAAGGGTATTCTATATATAGTCTTTGGAATGAGTAGAATTGTTATTAATAGCCGCAATCCCGTGCCGAAATTCAAGTCCTGCTCTGTGTTCTCTGCTAATAACCCGACTGTGAATGATGCGAGCGGCATCACTATGTTGTCACTGAGAAGCTGCAGGAAGATTTTTGGTGTGCCGGCAGAACAACAACAACAACGCGCTACGTGTTTCTTTTCCCCTCATTTTTTCCAATTGACGGAAATCCGTCGTAGACTAGGGATATGGCGGTTTCAAATTTTCATGTTGCGATTAATTGCTAATGCTTTTATCACGGTATACGTTATTATCACGATATTGAAATGTAGCTTAAAAAAAAGTGCTGTCATAATACAGTATAACAGGTTTAATAACTTTTTTCTTATAACAAAAATAACTGAACATTTAAATGCAATAAAGCAATACAGAAAAATTTATAAAGTTAAAAGTTTTACACAGATTAAAGTGCAAAAGAACTATAAAGACCAATAGGTATCACTTTACAATAAGACCTCATTAGTTAACCTTAGTTAATGCATTAACATTCACAATGAGCAATAGCTACATTTGCTACAGAAGTTATTAATCTTTGTTAAAAAAATACACGTCTTAGTTCATGTTAGCTCATTAAATAACACAGTTGCAACTTTTGATTTTAACAACCTGTTATTAAATATTGTAATTACCTAAGATTAATGAATGTTCAGAAGAATTTTTCATTGGCAGTTTATGTTAACTAATGGATTAACTAATGTTAACTAATGAAGCCCTAATGTAAAGTGTGACCGAACAATAAAGAATCAAAACACTTTCAAACAATATCTAGGGCATGTTGTAGTCCAGATTAAAATGTAAAAAAAGATTGAAAATAAATAGCCTATTAAGTCTAAATATTTAAGTATTTGGCACTGTGATGAACATCATAGCAAATACACAAATCTGAACGGCTGTTTACATCATTTAAACACGATTCAGAAACAGAAAGTAGTGCAGCTGCTTTGTTTACAGGGTTTCCGGGGTAACGGCTACATTTAAATGAATTATTATTATTATTATTATTTCAGCAGTTTAGCGCCACCTGCTGTCAGAGAGTGAAAGTGCAGATCTTTCATCCAGATCGTCTCTCACATGTTCCGCCATGTGCTTCTCGTCCGCGCTTATTT